GTTCATAACATGAGACGTACCGCCTAATCAAGATGAAACATCCCACAAAACATGAATGGCTTGGCGATGCGAAAAAATCTGGCGTGACGCAACACGTGAATACGAGCAGCCGAGCCTGTGTTCACTGCCCTTTTTTTCACTCTCTCGCGTCGTCTAGTCGGTTTTATTTTTATTTTTTATTTTTTTCTAGTTCGCGTAAGCTCAATGAATTTATTTCGATCACGCTTGGCCTTTCATTGAGTCTCTTTGGACGTGTCCAGAAATAGAACTAGTGCAGACCCGATTTTATTTTTATTTTTTAAAAAGGGTTTTCCCGATTCTTCTGGTAGTGGCTAGTGAGCAAGTAACGGTAACTCTCCTTCACACTGAGCGGCAAGATGAGCTAACTCTCATGAAAAATAGATGTTATTATTGTGTGTGGGAGGGAGAATTCTAATTCTATAGATTGGTCTGCGATGACTAGCCATTGGCGGAACTAGTGTGGGTGTTAAAGACAACACGCCATAAAAGGCCTATGTGACCACACATAAGTAGCCTATTTATAAATTGATGCAGTGCTTTTTACATGCATCTCTACAGGGAGGGGTGGGGGAAGAGGAAACGAATAAGAAAATATTTATTTAACTATACAGAAAAGATGTGCTGAATTAACCCGTGTCTGCCTCACCCCCCCCCCCCCCCCCAGAGGCGTAGCGACCCTGGGGACAAACTTTCAATTTGATTTTCCAGCCCATTTGGCGCCCCTTAAGGTCGGCGCCTGGGGACATATGTTCCCCCGCCCCCCCCCCCTCGTTACGCCTCTGCCCCCACCCCCCTCACACACACACCGAAGCAAGCCTAAAAAAATTATATATATATAATATCTATAGTGTATGTAGAAACCCACCATCCCCCTCCCCCGATTTTTTAAAAGAAAAACTCTAAAAGAGACACTGCTGCCCCCCCCCCCTCCCAGAGAGTTTCAAGAGACCCCCCCACCCTGTTGAATGGAACGACCACGAAAAGGGCGTCACGGCGTCCACTTTCAAACCAGATTATCCCACCACGTTGATTCTTTACATATAAGGGCATTGACACTTCCCCAGCGCATTTGAAAAAAAAAGTAGACAGATAAGTTTACTCTCTAAACCAATCGAGTCAGACGACAAAGATGGGAAAAACAACAATCATTTGCCAATGTTATCTCACCACCATGTAATCCATTTTTATTAATTTAACCAAGCTGCCAGTTTATTCATCCTCCTTAGTGCGAAGACGGGCATTTGGAATTTGTCACTTTAATAGCTAGTTGCTGGGCACGTTCAACTATAGCTTCAGTATATATATATATAGTATGAGGGGGGGGGGTGCAAATCGAAAGTCTGATGGGGCGGGGTGCAAATCGAAAGCTTGTCCCCGGGTAGAAATTGGAACCCCCACCCTTGAGACGATCCTGGCTACGCCGCTGAATAGCTTTACGCTTATTATTGAGACATTGTGTGCAATCTCAGCAGAGAAAGTGCGGTTTTACATCCAGAGTTTCTTCCAAGCGACGCCTCCCCCCCCCCCCCCCCCGAAGAAGGTCAACCCCCTCCCCCCAACGAAATAGAAAAAAATTCTGTTTGCATCAACAATACTTCCAGCTCCCTAACTGCCCTAACATTATGAACCAAAAACTTTTTGAAGCCATCAGGACAAAGGTGCTTGCATTTCTTCCAGGTACCATAACCAATGTTTGGCATTTTATATTGACCCTTGAACCTCCTCCTTACTTTGTTGTCAATACCCTTGGGTTTACGCCAGTTTGCCTTGACTTTGCCATATCTGTCGGATTGGTGTCTAATAAATTTCTTATTCCTCTTCTTTACAATCTGAGTTTTGATGAGAGGTCTGATCGCCATTTTTTTTTTTGCCTCAGACATGTAATTTACAGCGTCAGTTGTGTGTGTTCGCTTTAGTATTACAGTTTTCATCATCGGCTTGTGAGGACTGATACAGATTTACAATAGTAATATTTCTTTCTTATTTGTAGCCTGCTTTCATTCATTTAAGATGGTTTACTTATACATAGATCTAATACAAAACGTCTAAAAATAAAGAAAAATTAAAAATTAAAAACCAACCTGAAACTGAAAATGCAAATGTGTAATTAAATGATGATTCAAGGGATTTTTTTTTCTCGGCGTGCGTGGTGGGCTGAGGGGGGGGGGGGGAATTTGATCACCTGTTTTACTAATCTTAACTTAGAATCCGCATCTACTCAGTTGATCAATAATTAAATGAAGTTACAGGTTTTTTTAGAATTTTTCTTTTGTGTATTTCAAAATGGTTTTTCAATTTAACTTTACTACCCTAAAAAAAATACCAGACTAAATACAGGCTGATTTTTTTTCAAATAATTCCTTGAACTGAATATTTGCCAGCTAATTTGTTTAATTTTATAAGTTTTTTCTTTCTTTCCGTGAAGTGTTAAAAAAAGTATGTTTACTGTAGACGATTTGCTGCTGTAATAATGGTTATTCTCTCACTAGTCAGTCAAAATATGTGACGTTTTTCACGCAATACCATATCACTAAAAATAGAAGTCTTTCTTCTGTAATGCGTTGCAAATCCAATTGTGTACAGTGATATAGAAATCTTAGAATACATTTTACTACGTGGTAGTTATATTAAAACAGTGGTTCTTAAAGTGGGTTCGATCGAACGTCCCCCCCCCCCCCCCCCCCGGGTTCAGTGAGTCATTTGGCAGAGGTCAGGAAACACACCGTACCCATATGATTCACGATCGGATTTTGTCAGCATACTTGGAAAGGTTTGGTGAATGCGCATATGAAACTATTGGGATTCGATACCTTCAAAAAGGTTAAGAACCACTATCTATATGGAAAATTAAGTGTTTTTGGTGGATGACCTAAAGGGCGATAACAAAGTTTAAATAGTTACAACCTTATTAAATATTGATTACGTCCCTTTGTTTTAAAAATGAAATGACAATACCTTTAAAAAGTGTGAATGTAAGATGGGTAAACATATTATTTTATAACTTCTCCCTTGATTTAAAATGTAATTTGTTTTTCTTTTGCATGCTTCTTTTTCTCTGTCGTCTACTACAACTCTCAGTGAAGCAGAGACCATTTACTACATCCTTCCATTTCTTCAGTGTTTGAACCATTCCATAATTCCTTTATTATACCGCGTTTACACTTGCTATATGTATACTATACATTTCAAGGAAAAAAAACGTCGCTATAGGGCCTACGATAATAGCGGAGATACTCACTTATTGCGAAGTTTTTCTTTTCTAGACATGTATAGTATACATGTCGCAAGTGTAAACGCGGTATTACAGCATCTCCTCTTTATGAGAGTGGCAGACATGTTCTGGATGTTGGAAAAGTTTTAGCGCAGATTATTTTACTCCGGTGGGTCATTAGCCTAACTGCTAAAACCATACAAACATGAGTGCAGGCTGCCTATCTGTTGGCCCAGCTATCGGTGTTCTCCACAATGTAGGTTCTCTGCAGTGTTTGCATGATTCTTTATCCTTCAAGTTCAGTCCAGTTGTCTGGATGCTGGAAAAGTTTTGGCGCAGATGATTTTACTCTGGTGAGTCACTAGCCAAACTAAAAAACACCATACAAACATGAGTGTAGGCTGCCTATCTGGGTAAAATCACGATATAGCGTCGGTTATTATTCCGGAACTGTACAGCAGTAAAAAACAGTAAAACCATGGCGTAGTCTGTCGAGCCGTTCCGGAAACCACCGGAAATACTGTAAACAATCATTTATTTGCCGCCATATTATTTTTAATACATAATGTTTAAAAATGTGCAAGGATTGATTTTAGTTGCATTTTAAATACTGTTTTGCTAATTATTTTGTATTTCTAATTATTTTAAGTGTATGTACTAATTATTGCTGCTACTAAACATTATTCTAGTTATTCTTACTACTTTTAACTTTAGTTAATCTAATCGTCTTATTTACTATGAAGAACAAGAGCTGGTTGTCGCAAATCTTCTGCAGGTTTTTTCTGTTTCTTAAAAAAAAATTAATTACTACACTCGAGTTTATTAATAATATTTAGATTTTCTATCTGTTATTAATTTTCTGTCAATTAAACTGTAAATTAAGTTAAAACATTAATTTAATGCACTTGACTTTATTTTTTTTCACCGGTCAAATAAACTATGGTTTACAGTAACGAATGTTACCGAAACTCAACGAACATTACCCAATAATTTCCGACGCTATATCGTGATTTTACCCCTATCTGTTGGTGCAGCCCAACTACCAGTATGCTATATCATTGCAACAGTGTAGGTTCTCTACAGTGTTTGCATGATTCTTTATCTTTCAATTCAGTTGTCTGGTGTGGTTTGGCAAGCCGTGATTGTTAACTCCTTAAATCAAGAGTTTGACCCTAGACAGATCAGGCTCGATAACTGTGGACAGCAACCCATCTAAGACAGAACTCAAAAATCAAACAACTCTCTTGCAGATTGTTCTTGGGTGGACAAAGGCTGTGGAAGCCAATCCTGAAAGACTAGCAGGCTGAAAGTGGAGTCGACAGGCCGTATACAGGGGGTTGGTGTGGTAGAGTCGGTAAAGCTCATGGTTGCTTAACCAAAAAGTCTCGAGTTTGAACCTTCGGGCAGATGAGGCTCGTTAGCTGGGGACAGCCACTCTTCTAGGAGAGACAACTTCAAAATCAAACAACTGCTGCCTTGTAGTTTGTTCTTGGTTAGACAAAGTCTATGAAAGCAAATCCAAAAAGAAAAGCAGGCTGAAATTGGAGTCAATGCCCCAAACATTGCATAATCAGTTGACACGTATACTTAATTATGTTGAAGGAGAACCCTCTAAAACTAAAATTAAGAACGAAAAAGAAGAAGACAGGCCTTTGGAATACTTGATTGTATCGAATATTACAACAGATAATGGAGGGATTAAAATAGTTTTTAAGTAGATAAGAAATACTTTTTCCAAAATCAACATAAAAAATGAAAACAACAAACATTTCAAATTGTTTCAGCGATTTATTTTGAAAGTTTCTGGAATAAAAATTTGCACCAGTTTTCAATGAAATCCATAAGGGGAGGTAAAACGAAACTTATTTATACTATAAATAGTTTTGTATAGCAAACAAACAAAAATACAAACAAATATGGAAACATACTTTTATATTACATACAAATTATATAATTGAAGTTGAATAGGTATGATGAATTACAGAATTTTCCATTTTTTTTTTTGGATTTCTCACAGATAAGCTTTGTAAATTGTAAATTTTTACAAAGTAACAATCCTGTTAAACAAAGTTTTAAAAAAATAATCCTAACAGAATTGACAATTCAGAAGAAGAATATGACTGCAAACAAAGAATCAGTGTAACTGATAAATAAAAAGTGTAAAATACTTCATTAAGCTAATAAAATGGGACTGGGCTTAGTTACTTAAGTAAAGGTTTTTCTTCTTTGAATAATTTTTAAAAATCTGATTGTTTAAAAAAAAAAACAAAAAAAAACAACATTGTAAATTAACAACAGGCTGCACAAATAAACAGTGAGAAGAGTGAATATTTATAAATTGTAAAGACAATTGAATTATATGAGTTTAAATGTACACACATGTACTATGTAGACATAAACAATAAAAAACAAATAACATTGTTTTAATGATTAGTTATTTTTATTTGTTTCTTATTCATTACATTGTCAATTGCTGTACAAAATTTAACTTCATCATAACTCAAGCTATTGTTAGAATTAATTTAAGTATCATTTATTTGGAAAGTTTGTATGCATAGTGTTTAGACTAAGTACAAAGATCTTTTGATAATATGTAAAGGGGGGACCACTATGGTAGTTACAAATTACAATGAGGAGTTACCTGCACCCAGTATGTTGTATGTCTTCTGCCCACTACCCCTAACTTCAACATTCATTTACCTCTGATTTCATTATCTAATGCAATATTTATCATATTGAGTGTTTCACACATGCATTGTTATACAGCTCAGGTTTTTAAAACACTTTATAATGAATGTATTGTTTACAAGTACAACAAAGATGAAAAACTACTGATTAGTTTACTTAATTTTTTTTAATTAAGAATTTTTAAGGTATATGTTTTTCTACTTACTTGTGATGGCATAAAGGATAAAACTATGTTTAGTTTCTTAGCAAACAAAAATTATTTGACTTGATTTTGTATTATGAAAAAAACAAATCTTTAACTTTAATCAATCATAATTTTTAGAATGCACAGAATTTTTACTTTCAGATCAAGAATCTTTTAAATTCATGGAATACAGAAAGCAAAATGCCATAATAAATATTTTAGATGTATTGGTCTTAATTGTATATAACTATAAAGTTGAACAACTCAAATATTTTCATGTTGCGTCAAATTCTGTTAAGGATTCTTTTAATCAAAACACATGTAAACAATGAAATTCACACATTATAGAAATGAAGAGACACAGTAATCTTTAAAAAAATGAAACATAAAAATTAAAGATGTTGAGTTTATGAATCTGCCATTTAATGCACGACAGAGGCCATTAATCCAAGCAATTTATTCACAGGAAACATGTTTTAATTGTTCTGAGTTAGTATCTGCCTAAATCATGGAATGCAAGCAACATAAAATTTAAAAAACAAGACAACGCAAAAATTTATGTAATAAATTAATGTGAAGAAAAAAAGACAAATTGTATAAAAATGTATAAAATTTATTTCTGAAATTACGAATTTGTATAAAGAAATTCTTTTTTTTAAACTAGAAACACAGTATAAGTCATAAATAAGGTTAAAATCACTAGCAACAAATATACACACAGTGATGTTATAAACAATTCTTTCTGCTTCATTTCACACGGTGTAACAACAAAAACAAATTTCTAAAACCTTCCATGCGCGGGTCAATAAAATAATAATCAACTATGAAATTAGTATTAAAACCAACAGAACACTGGCCACATGAATACAAGACATGGTCATGGATTCTAAGTAGTTTTTATGAAATGGTTGATACAGCTTCATAGCACTACATATAGAGGGAATTTTGTACCCCAATTAAATGCTATCTAAAAACAAACTGCATTTAAAATTATTCAAAAGTAAATATGGTTTGGCTAAGTTGGGCTAAGATATTTTTTTTTAAAAAAACATCTTTTAAAAATTTTCCATGTTAGTGTTTCACATTAGTTATTAAAACTAAAATTATAAATAGTTTGATTAGAGTAGTTCACACATTGTGTACTAATACTGGTTGGATATAAAACACAAGTTTTTCTAACGTACCGCAATAAAAATACATTTTTAGTGAATAGTTGGGTTTTTTTTAAATAATTAAACAAAACAAACACAAAACATTCATTAAGCCCCGCCCCACCACTAGGAAGAAAGAAATTATGTGGAGTCCATTCAACACAACTGGTGAACATGATAGAATGTGGTAAGGCAATCTTTGGATGACTGTCAGACGCACAAAGCATACACAGATAGGCAAGCGACATAATCAATTTTAAATGCACTGATTACCTAGCTCACAGACTGTCTAATTCCCTTGTTCAAATACTAATTGATAAGGCTAATCCATTGCAGGCACCACTACCATTTTTCTAAAACTAATTGATAATGCTAATCCATTGCAGTTACCACTACCCTTGTTCAAATACTAATTGATAATGCTAAACAATGGTTCATACATCTAACCTAGTTTAAAAACAAACTGATACTGCTAAATAGTTGTAATGAGATAAAACTAATCAGTTGAGTCATCAGTCTTGCATATCCCACTTTTTTATGATAAAACCATCTGGTTTAAGGACACATACTGGCTCCTGATGACCAAAGTCATCAATACATTTCTTGGAAATTTTACAAAATAGACAATGAGTTTGATTGAAATCATATTGTAGACGTTTTGAACAACAAACGAGCTGCCACAATATTTTTTTTTAAAAAGCATGTCGGATCCAGGCTCCGCAATCAAAGCAATCCAAATGAAATATTTGACAAAATTTACGCGTGTTTGGATTCTTGAAACCACTTTAAGAAATAGTTTAAACAACGTTACTGACTCAGGAATGGTGATCACGGCCAGATATGGGGGACTCTAGTAAAGCTCCATTTTCAGACATGGTAACGGTACCTGGGACCTTGGAGTGGGCGGCTCCATCTTCTGTAGGCGTTGGCCTGTCGTCCGGCGATTCATACACAGACATCTCAAGGACTACTTCGTCCCCATCGGGGCTGAATTTCATGTCCAGGCTTCGGTGACTAGAGAAGGTGAAGTTTGTCTGGTTTCTCGTGTTGGAGTTGTTGGCGTTGGGCATGTGGGCGTTGCTGACGTCTCCAATGACGACAGACTCGACAGCGTTTTGGTTGGATTTGTTCATGCGGCTCTTGCGGTCGCCGCAGCACGTGTCTGTTTTACACATCTCGCCTGAGGCCTCGCAGAGAATGGCACAGGGCTGGTGGTCAGAGTTGGCATCACGCCACTGAAACAAGAAACATTGGGTGAAAATAACCTTAAACTGCTGTATAAAGTCATACAAAACTATTAATAAAAATATAAAAAACATAAAATATTTTGTAGATGTCAATGACAAATTGAGAACATTTAGTAAAGTAATAATTTTTATTTAAAAATTATTACTCTTCAAAAGAAGTACAGCAGACTGCAATAAAATGTCTGATTCTATGGTGATAAAATAAGATGTGAATAAAGCTCTTCATTTAAATGGGGTTTTTTTAAGTGAATAGAACAGACTTAACTAATGAATACACCAGAAAAAATAATTGGTAAGACGAGTGAATATAATAAGTACACTTGGTAAAAAAAAACATAACCCATAAACACAACAGAAAAAAATACTGACTTGACAAAGAAATATGCCAGCAAAAAAGCTGACAAGACAAGTAAATAGACTAGGAAAAAAAAAAGAACACAACAGAAAAAATACTGACATGAAAGTAAACAATAGAAAAAAAAACTGAAATGACAAGTAAACAACTGAAAAAAAATACTAACATGACAAATAAATACACAAGAAATTAAAAAAACAACTGACATGACCAGAAAGACTCACATCAATAAACTCTGGCTGGATTGTTGTGGAGTGGATGCCAGCTTTGTGGAAAAGTGATTTGATCTTGGCAGCCAGTGTCATGTACTCCTCTATGCCATGGCACCGAATATGTGCTGATGCCACAATACGGTTCCCTGCCAGCTGCCAGATATGGCACTCGTGCACCCCGTATATGCCATCCATCTGTGGAGAAGAAAACATATAAGACATTTTTATAAGACATTTTTTATATGCCATCCATCTGTGGAGCAGAAAACATACAAGACATTTTTAACAGCCCAAAGCCACAATACATTTAATAATAAAGTGACCATCTCTATAAAAAAACAAATCATATCTATGTCCAGGTCATTAAGAATTTTTTATAATATATAAAAATTTATAACAAGCTTCTATACACGTTCAAAAAGGAAGAGATAAATTAATGTTCTTTAAATATAATAATTTAATTAAAAGTAGTAAAGTTCCCTTTTCAAAACTAATGGTCCTTAGTGCAAGTGAAGTAGAGTTGACCTGTTTTTGTGACCTGGATGGTGTACCCAGCCACCTTTACTTTCCCTAATGCAAGTTAGGTACCCATCAGAGCTGGGTTGACTAAGGGACATTTGACTGACTTAAACTCAGATTCAAATTCAAGACTTTGGTTTAGCAATTGAGCACTCTACACTACCAAGCCACACCTTCCCTATAATTAAATACTGCACTAATATTGTCAAGAAAAGTTTGAATTTTTATATTGTTTACTGGAAATTAAGAAATGTGTAGGTTCATCTCTTAGTATAAATAAGCTTTTAAACAATAATAACATCACAAATACAGCAAGTATGACAGAGAAAAATAAACGCCTGTAAAATGGTATGATATTTCATTTGGTTACATTTTTTAAAAACTATTAACAAGCGAGTTTTACCTGCTCCAACTCTTGAATAATCCTTTCCACATTGACATGGGATGGAACAGTTTGGAGAAGGATGAAAGCAGATTCCTTCACTGAAATGTTAACATTACATGTTGCAGTCAAAGTAATAAAACCCTCTAACATTATTAGTCTCTAAAGTTAATAAAAATGTAACTTATCACAAAATTCATTTGTCAGATTGTAATCCAGATTATCTCAAGTAGTGTTTACATTTAAAAATTTAAAAGATTTAGCCAATTACTAATAAACACAAAAACTATATCATACACAATTTTCATAATACCTCTCAAATGTATTTGTTTTTAAGAATTCCTATTTGATTTTTTTAAATTCTGGTTTTACAATTCATTTTTGGCTGATAATTTATTTTTTTACACATTTTTTTGAAGATTAAAAATACAATAATGCAGTTTTTTAAATTCCTAATTTATATTTCAGTTTTGGCTATAATAACTTACATAACAAATTCTTTTGTTTTTGTTTAACTTCTTAAAATTCTATTGAAAATTTAAAAAAAAACAATTACTTACACAAAGGAATGGTAGTGCTTAGAATAATGATCACCATCATGATGCTAGAAAGATAAACATGAAAAAAATATTACCCTTACTGAAGTGTCTATAATGGGTCAGTCATCCCCCCCCCCCCCCCATACTGTCCAGGTAATCCTAGGTGTCTCTAAAACTCTCAGTGAGCCAAAAAAAAATTCATTGTTGTGTCAAGTTAACACTTTGATTCTGGGCTTGAGCCAAGAAAGTTTTAAACAGGGAGGCAACACTGCCACAATAATTACAGAAGAACATTCTATAAACAAATTGTGCCTACCAACAATCTACAAAAATTATCTCTCAGAAATGTGTTCTACTACTTCCTTAAGACTACAAACCAGTGCTTGTGTGACTTTTTTATGGAGCTAACAATTCTACCCTAATAACAACCTTGACAGAAATGTCATCTTGATGTTTATTACAGTATTGAAATTATTTAAGCAATGTCAGTCAAATAACGAAGTAAAAATGATTAAATAATCAGGTAAACAATGCTGTATATTTCTAAAAGCATAAATTAAATGTAATACAAAAAATAAAAAAACTCATTGAAGGATCAACATAATATCTCTACTCCCATAAAATAACCACATAACCAGCGTATAACTAAATGACATACATCATGGAAGGATCAACATAAATCTCCAGTCCCCATAAAATAACCACATAACCAGCATATAACTAAATGACATACCTCATGAAAGGATCAACATAATATCTCCAGTTCCATACAATAACTACATAAACAACATATAACAAAATGACGTACCTCATGAAAGGATCAACATAATATCTCCAGTTCCATACAATAACTACATAAACAACATATTACAAAATGACGTACCTCATGGAAGGATCAACATAGTATCTCCAGTCCCCATCAGCAAACCATATAACCAGTGCAGAAACCACAACCACCACAGAGCCAAGAGCGTCACCAAGCACATGGAGGAACACACCACGCATATTCAGCTGATTTGAGGATGCTAATAATAAAAAATTTAATTTAATTAAATAGGTGGATGACAAAAAATTACATTTTGTTCTTCATCAATGAATGGAGACAAAAACAGAACTTCTTTTTTTAAACTATACAATTGTTTGAATTTAAAATAAAATACTTTCTTTGTATTAATAAAAATTCAACAGATTAGTCGAAATATATTTCTAATTATAAAATACAGCGGGTGCACCTAATATAGTTTGACTGTTGAATCAAGTAGAGCCAATGACCCCATGTGCAGGACCCCTAAACAACAGATCCCATGTGCTTAGATATATCGCAGGCATACTCTCATCATTATATGTATAGATCAGTGGTTCTTAACCTGGGTTTGTTCCAACCCCAGGTGTTCGGTGAGTCAGTTCCAGGGGTTCGGCAGAAGTCAAGACACACACCGACATATATGATTAGCAATCAGATTTTATCAGTGCAGGCTATAGGACTATTAACAAGGGTTCGGTGAATGTGCATAAGTAACTGGTGGGGCTCTGTAATTCCAAAAAATTCACAAACCTCTGGTATAGATGGTTGTTTTCTATTAATTTAAAAAAAAAAAACCCATTGAACACCACTCACCTAACTGTGGCTTCTTAATCTCTATGGTAATATTAGAAGCCTGGGAGACATATATCTCCTTGTCGTCCACTGACGACACTGAAGAAATTTTATCCGTCTGGACCAGGGACTCGTTCTCCATAGCAGCGGCTTTCCCATTAGGCACATCCTTGTAGTTGGCGTTGTGGCCTTCTTTGGGACTCCCGTGTGCATGGCCGTGACCTCCGTGTGAGTGGCCGTGACCCCCGTGTGAATGGCTGCTTCCACCTCCATGAGAATGTCCATGAGCTATGTCCGCGAAACAAAGAAATTTTTAAAAATATTGCAATACAAGATAGCAGTTAATACCTGTTTTAAAAACAAAGTAAAAACGAAAAATGTATTTGTATTTTTACATACTTCTTACACAATAATTTTTAATTTTCTTGTTATAAAAAAAAATTCACTTAACCTAGGTAAAACTGTAAATTACTCCTGCTTTAATCACAGTGACACACCAATCATATTAATTTCATTTGTAATTTGCTTAATAAACCAAAATTAACCACTCCTTTTAAGCCTTTGTTAGCAGTCCCACCTTAGCTTTTATGAATGTATCCCTTAAACATGGATACAAGTAACCTCCCAACACACCCATTATAATATACAAAAACACATAACACACACACCCCAAAACAAACCCACAATACAAACATAAACTTACCACACACCCCAAAACAAACCCACAGCACACACTCAAACTTATCACACACTGCCAAAACAAACCCACAGTAGCTTAAAACACATACACCACTCACCTCCAAACAAGAAAAGCCCAAAGATATTCACAGCCAATCCCACTGCCCCTACTATAAGAAGCAGTTTGGGGTTGTCCACCTTCTCCACCTCCACCAACCTCTTCAAGGCTTCCACCAGAATGGAGAAACACAGAGCCAAAAGGAAGACGGCATTAACCAGAGCACCAAGAATCTCAGCCCTCACCCAGCCATAAGTGTTTCTTTTGGAAGGCCATTTTGATATCTGTACAAGTCACAACATTAGCTTCTTATTTAAAATGTAATGATAGCTTATTATTAAGAAGTATGGCGATTTAGATGTCTGTACATGTCAAAACATAAGCATATTATTTAAAACTTACAGATTATTTATTATTAATAGGCTTTTGGATATATCATTATATGTAGGTCAAAATATTAGCTTGTTATTTAAAAGCTAATGATAATTTATTTTTTATAAGGCCATATAGATATTTGCACATTCCAAATTTTGCCTTATTTAAAAATTGACAAAAATTCTTCTATGATTTGCAGCAATGATATTGAAGATTATATTTGCTGGTACCACTACCCTTAGCCTTACTAGAGCTATTACCATAACCAATATACCAATAAAACACACATTACGTTATCTCTTGATCATAAATGTACCACGTATTAAATTATATACAGAAAGGTATGAAATAACTTAAGTTCCACTAAAAAGTATCAATGATGAATGTTATACAGACAGTTGCAATTACAAGCCTAAACTAAAACCATGACAATATTGATTTTTCAATATCTAAGGGATTCTACTAGGTTAGTTTCCTCTACCAAATTTATAACTGAAGACAGGAGTTACATTACATACACATAGAAGATAATTATCACCATCTTTTACAGTTTGTGCCCAGTTTGTTGTGAAGTAGACTTCATCTGTTTCAGAGACCTCTGCATATGAAGGGATAGTGTGGTCAGCACTATGCCCAGCTGCCTTTGTATTCCCTAACATGAGTTAGGTACCCATCAGAGCTGGGTGGATTAAGGAACATTCTACTGACTTGAACGCAAATTCAAACTCGAGACTTTCGGCTTAGCAGTCTAGCTCTCTATCGCTATGCCACACAATATAATCTCATACAGAATAAATTAAAATATCTTTCAAACCTAACAGTCCATCTTGATAGAGTTCATCTGTTTTGTGATTTTAGAATATAATCAAATCCATGCACAGGCCCCTCCCCACTTCTGTTACTAACTCAAGAAATACGCATATATGTTACCTATCAGTGATATATGTACTATGGAATCTTGTGCTGGCTTAAAGCTAGAACTGAGTTTATGCTCGCAACTATTGCACACCATATATATTGTTGAAAAATATTTGTATAAACTTTTATCAACCTCCAAAACTTGGACCCAGGAAAGGTCTACCAAAGATTATACATAAACAATACAAACAAGTTTCCATTACAGTACACAATCCAGAAAAAATACAAAACAAGATGAAAAACATCCCCAGTGAGGTATAAGACAATGACAGTGTCATCAATGAAGGAATTAAACTTACCCTGACTGAAGCAAATCCTACTATGAGAGCCACGACATCTGAAAGCATGTGAAAGGAATCCGCCACAAGAGCAATGGAGTTGGTCATGTACCCGACTATAATCTCCACCAGGAAAAATCCCGCGGTCAGGGTCAGCATTGTGCTCAGGCGGCAGGTCTTGCCGCTGTAGCGCCCCATCTTTTGTCACGGTTAGGTAAACGTTTGTTTCGGTTTAAATGTTCTTTTTTTTTTTTACAAATACCAAACCTGTGGTAGTTTTATAATTATCACAGTAAAACTGAAACCACAGAAATATCTTGGCAACAGTATGAAGATTATAATGTTTCAGGCAATAACTTATCTCCCCTTATGTATAGATAGCTGTCCTTCACAAATCAACACAATACTTTTGTTAGGATGAGAATGTCATCACCACTGGTGCCCAAATGTTACTGTTTTAGAGCTTCTTTGTTGACAATCAAGGCTTTTCCTCTGGCAAATCTCCAGAAAGGGACAAAACTCTGCAAGGAAAACAGATTACATTTAAATTTGACAATAAATATTATTTAGCAAACTCAAATTGTACTCTATAAACACCATGAAACAATATTAAAATGTAACTCTACCAAGACTAAAATTAAGAGCATCATTTTTAAAAAGCTATGGTTATTGAATAAAAAACAGTGAATTTATATGAATTTAAATACATTTTAAAAATATGCTATTCAAATTATTTCCCCTATGTAACTACTAAAGGCTGTGCTTTGTTCCATTACACACCTCAACAATGTGAGTGCTGTACCATTTCATCCAGATAACAACTGACCCTACATATCACTAGATAGGACCAACTTCCATAGAATCAATACACTAACCACAAGTATAGAGAGTACACACACACATTCATGGCTATAAAGCCATTGTGAAAGTATACCTTAAGTTGGCCAGATAAATTTGAAGATCTACTACAAAAATAATAGTGTAAAGAATATTTATATGTGAATATGGGTAAATCAATGTACTAAACTGGCACAATACTGATAAGATATATATGGTAAACTAAGTAATTTTAGATCTATTTATTTATGCAATGTTGTTTGGTAGGTAATAGCTCAAGTGCTTGAAGCAACTATTTACAGGGCTATGTCAATAGATTTTTTACTGCCAGCCTGCTTTAAATAGATAAAATAACAGCTTCAGAAATAGTTGTCTTATTGTGCAGTACAGAGGCACTGGTGGTGAGGAGGGGGGCGGGTGGGTGGGTAATGGCTGGGGATGCTTCACATTGTTCTATAAAAGTAAGTATAGAGTTTTATACTGTCTGTCACTATAAATATACATAAATGTAAGGTGTGCCCCCTGGCATCAAGATAAGAAAAGCAACTATTTATTAACACATTATTTAGCAAGTAATTCTGATATTAGGTAGCATGTTCTTGTTCATTCCAAATCAAATAAATAACTTCATGACTTATAACCTTGTATCATGACTACCAATAGCACTACCCTAATGCAAATGTACACTTTTAATCAGCATTACCAATTACTTAACCCTAACCCCATAACAACAAACTGGTTTAGCTGCCTCAGGCTTACAGGTAAATTCCTTTATTTTCTGAACCAATAGGCTTAATAATAGTCTCATATTCCCTATGGTTAAATTATCTTAAATTAAATGAAAACAAGAGCAATGCAATATCAACCAAGCAACTCTTTTTTTACAAAAATAAATTCACTTCTGGAATGCATTCCTAAAGGCAGGAAGAGAAGTACTTATTACAAACACTAGTGAGTAAAATTTAATTTCCATGTTATCATTTTAAACAAGGGGAAAGTTTAATGAACAGAGAAGTAGTATATGAAACTACTATTGTCTACCTCATTTTTACAAGTACCATACACACGCATACAGATATACACAGTCAATGTAAAGGTCATCTATTTTTATCACAGAGTCATTCTTTTTACAATAACCTAGTGACCTATGAACCTGGTTGTAATCAAGGTGCCTACTCTTACAGGTACTTAAAAACCACACCAGCAGCACCTTATAATCAGTGCATTATAAACATAAAGGGTTTTTCATACAATGAATACTGATGAAACAAAACATTGTTCTGTTGCTCTTTTGATTCTAGTTTTTAATTTCTCAAATATTCTTACAACTATACATCATTACACTGAATACTGATGAAACAAAACATTGTTCTGTTGCTCTCTTGATTCTGGTTTTTTAATTCTCAATTATTCTTACAAATATAGGCCCCTACAACAGGGTACTTAAATAGTAAAGGACAATTTTAATGTGTAAAGAACAAAATTAATGATTATTACCCTTTTTTTAAGTATCCTGATTTAGCTATTTTAAAATGTGACAATAGTGTTGTAAATCTATTTTTAAATCACTTGAACCAGGGAAAGTGAGATAATGGCAGAGGTGACTGGTGAACTGAGGTAGTCTAATGACAGGGCAGATATAGGTCAAAGTAACACGTAGCCTAGAACTAAGCAGAATAGGCACCATTTCTACACTACTACGGTAAGGCTTCACATGGGGTATGTTTGCGTGTCTGATGGAATAAACATTGCCTGCTAAACTTTTATTAAGCTGTAGACTATAGAGCACTCTGCAGGAAATTGCGATAATTTTTAGTTGTTGTTATTTAAATTAAGGCAAGTAAAAAAAAATTGTGCCCCCCCCCCCCCCCCGTTCATCAAAGCCATCACAGGGATCGTCAATAAATTACGTCACACTCATAGGGGGGGGGGGGGGGGAGTCCGTAATTTTGTGACGATGTGCGATGAAGGGGACGGTGAGGTCAGGTAGAGTGACGTCACATTTTTGCATTTTAAAATAGTAATGTTCGAAACTGAATTTTAGCCGTTATCTAGAATTTTTTTTTTAACTGTTATAATAAATTGTAATATAAATTGATTAATTAAAATACTTAAAGTTGACCGAGCTCAGTAAATGTTTTATTAAAAAACAACGATGTATTAAAAAAAAATTCAACTGCAATTTTGACGGGGGTACTTGTAGGCTGAGGTGTGACGTCATATTGGGGGGGGTGGAGCAGTAGATAGAAAAGTGAAATGTAGTTGGGTTGGATAAAAGTATGTCACGTGTACTCCTGTCCCCACGGGTCAAATAGTGTACACCAGCTCACGAATAAATGATGACTTGCTAGATTGAAGTGGTGTAGCAAGCAAGTGTACAGACTGTACACAATTTTCTGAAGTGACCTAGGGGGTGCAGGGGGGGGGGTGTAACTACCCAGCCTAACAACAAAACAGATAGGTAAAAATTTAGTCAATGGAAATTTTTTCAATGCTGAAGGTGCATGCGGAGTGCGAGAGATAAGTAGTAAGGGACACTGTTGACACAAGGTCTTTGTGTAGTACGTCACAGCGTGGAAAACCATAGCAACGAATCACGCGGCTGAACATCAGCACGGCAAACATGGAGATTAGACTTAGAGCATACAGAGGAACATCGTGAACAAAGGCCTGATAACATCAGGCTATACAACAACATTATAAACTGGCAATAAACATACAAACATCGCCGGCACAGTTCAACAACACACATCGCAAACATGGGGACGGTAGAGCGCTGAGGCGTAGCGCCCCTTCCCGGCGCCCGGGGACAAACTTTCAATTTGCACCTCCCCCCCCCCCCCCTCAAACTTTCAATTTGCACCCCCCCCCCCCAAACTTTCGATTTGCACCCCCCTCAAGCTTTCATTTTTATTTTTCCAACCCATTTTGGCGCCCCCTAAGGTCGGCGCCCGGGGACATATGTGTGTCGTCGTCCCCCCCCCCCCCCGCTACGCTACTGGTAGAGCGCCAGACTACTAACACGATAGTCTAGATTTCCAAACCGGATTTTTAAAGGCAGTAGAACGTCCATTATTCCACCCAGCTCTGATGGGTTCATAGCTCACGTTAAGGAAAGTAAAAGTGGCTGGGCACAAAGCTAACCACACTATCACGTCATATGCCGAAGTCACAGAACTCTACTTCACTTGCCCCATGGACCGTCAGGTTCAAAAAGGGGAAAAAACAGGAAATAAACATACAAACATCGCCGGCACAAGCTATTCAGAAAATACACAGCATTTACATGCAATAAACATACAAAGGCAATAGTACAATACAAATCACAAACTCAATAAACATACAAACACAGGCAATAATACAATACACATCACAAACGCAATAAACATACAAACACAGGCAATAATACAATACACATCACAAACACAGGCAATAAAACCATACACATCACAAACACAATAAATATACAAACACCGGCAATAATACACTGCACATCACAAAAAACATACAAACACGGCCAATAATGCCATACACATCGCAAACACAATAAACATACTAACACAGGCAACAATACAATACGAATATAAAAACAAACATACACACATCGCTGGCACAATTAATTTAACAATACACATCACTAACACTGCCATAGCCGAGGCTGAAACAGCCAACACGAGCGAACACCACACACCACCACTACGCAAGCTGTTAATTAAAAACAATTAACAAAAGAAAATAGAACAAAACGCCCATCGCCAATTAGCCATACCACGATCTATCAAACAGGTATTTCTAAACCAAGTGTAAACATTTTGCTGTCGAAAAAAAAAATCACTATTTTTTTTAACACATCACTTTTAACAATCCAGTTCCAAACAGCAAAATAAAATTTATTTCCGCACGACTAAATCTACCGAGCTTATCAGTCAATCATCTTCCAGAGATTGTCGCGTCATCCCACGCCCAAGACCATGCGACACTTGTCCGCACGCCTCGACAGAACCCATGTGGCAAGCGGAACACGAGGAAAGTGTGCAACGGTGGCAACGTGCAAGTCTGGTGCGCAGATCCAAAGATTGGCATGGCAGTGTGAAGCCAAGGATTAGCAACTCAAAATTTTACAGTTAAAAAGGGGAAGGGGAAATAATAAACGACAAAACCCGAATGCAAAAGTCCCGGATGTTTTCTATGTTTAGTGTCGTTGGTTATTGACCTACATACAGGTAACTGTATCAAGGGACAATGGTATTAACGTCACATTATGTACACGTCAGGTGTTTATGTGTCATAATATGCACACTGATCTAGCTAGGATGCAGTCGGGCGCATAGTGGGGGCTTATGCCCGGGCATCAGGCCCAAAACAATGTGTGTGGGGGGGGGGGGGGGGGCTTTTAAAAAGTGGGGAAAAATTTGCGCCCCGCTGTATCAACCTATGTTAAGAAAATACATTGCAGGATTCCTATCAATTATGTAAATCACAAATATCAAATACAAACGACTACCAAATAGCCAGTTATACAATCATCGGCTACCAAATAGCCAGTTATACAAACATGGGCTACCAAATAGCCAGTTATACAATCATCGGCTACCAAATATCCAGTCATACAAACATCGGCTACCAAATATCCAGTCATACAAACATCGGCTACCAAATATCCAGTCATACAAACATCGGCTAC